GGAAGTTTTGACTCAAGACCAAGCCAGAAAACCTTGAGATTTAGAGGATAGATTAAAGAGAACCTCCCATGCTGGCAAAATGTAGGCAGAAGTCTTTTCCATCAACAGTTTTATGCAAGTACCGTATATTTCATTGCTTGATTTATTTTTTTCTACATAAACCTCTGTGACCTTCCAGCTGTATCAGCTTTATTTTCTGTCAGTCTTCATTTCTGTTTACTTGTCATCGATCTGCATTAGTATAAGAATTCCATGTAATTTCCTATTTGAATATAGTGAAAGAAGTAACCTAAGAATATGTTGCTATATATATTCAAGTTTTAGGATAGAGAATAATTGTGTATGAGTCAGCGCATTTTTAAAAGTATTTATTTAAAAGTGTCTTTGGAATCGAGATTAGGATTTAGTTATAGAATGTTAGATGTCTTCTTAACTTTTTAGAAAATTTTTCTTTTCCTTTCAGCCAGTGCTTAAAAATTAGTATCTTTCAATCTAAAGAATTAGTTTTAGATTCCTTATTTCATGTGGTGGTGGTTTAGTTCTAGTTTTATGGTAAGGTTAAGATGTGAAATTTTAACACTTGAGCATCTTCTGGAGGGACCAGTGGGACAATGAGAAGATTCAGAGTCCATCCAGGAGAGAGACATGGGTTATAGCTCTGTCTCTGCAGGACTTTAGGCAAATCACACCCTCACACCCCCTTTTTTTTTTCACCTCATCTCTAAAGTGGGGTCAGTTGAGATTACTACAAGTCCAATTAGCTCTAAAATTCCATGTTTTCAAACAGTAGAATTATTTTTCTTGTTGAGAAATTTGTGTGTAAAACATGGAGCATGTGGGGATGAAAAGTCTCCAGGAGCCTCGCTGAGTCTGAGCTCTGAGCGCAGGGCTGTATCTCTGCCCCATGCTTTTCCCTCCTGTGGCTTTGGCTGGGCAGGTGGAGCCTCCTCCATGACGGACTGTTTCTGTTTGTTTCAGGGGCTATCAGCAGCAGGATGCCCATGAATTCATGCGCTACCTTTTGGACCACCTGCACTTGGAACTCCAGGGCGGTTTCAATGGTGTTTCCTGCTCACCAATTCTGCAGGAGAATTCTACCCTGTCTGCAAGTAACAAATGTTGCATGTAAGATTTAATTTCCTTTGCTGTTTTAGGAGCACCTCAGATATTTCTGTTGGTGTTATTGTTTGTTAGATTTATAATGGAAGTGGAGAGTTTCCCTTAATCTTTGCTACAAATGTTTGTTTGCTCTTGAACTTTGTGACCAGTGGACTGGCACATGCCTCCCACTTCCAGACCAGAGGCATCTTGTGTTTGCATCTTGGTGTAGTTCTGATTGTTATTTGGGATAGATCATTTTAAAACTTGAAAAAAAATAGAAAATATTTGTACAATTTAGCACTTAAAAGTTTTCCTCCAGATGTACTGAAGAATGGCTCAAAGACTTAATTTTAGTATATTAAAAGTAATTAGCCGAAACCGGTTTGGCTCAGTGGATAGAGCGTCGGCCTGCGGACTGAAAGGTCCCAGGTTCGATTCCGTTCGAGGGCATGTACCTGGGTTGCGGGCACATCCCCAGTGGGAGATGTGCAGGAGGCAGCTGATCGATGTATCTCTCTCATCGATGTTTCTAACTCTCTATCTCTCTCCCTTCCTCTCTGTGAAAAATCAATAAAATATATTTTTAAAAAAAAGTAATTATATTTGTTCACTAAAAACAAAGGCTTAAAATATTTGAATGTGAATTTTTATAATGCCTCATTCTGGACTTGAATTTTCTTTAAGTATATCTGTTCTTTATTGAAATTGAGGAATTTTAAATTCTTGAAAATGTTTCTTACCTCTCGATATGAACAAAATAAACCTTTTAGGTTGCTCTTTCAAGTACTAATAACTCAGAATTGACATTGAGATTATTATGTTTATTTTGCTTGAGAAATAGATGTTTTATGATATTTGAGCTTGGATATTAGTTAATTGTAGTTTTCTTCTGTTCGTATTTTTGAAAAGTTTGTGTTGACCTATGTAGGAAAGGGATTTATAAGACAAACTCCCCAAAGAAAGAAAGAGTAGGAAATATATAGAGGTTGTAATATTGCCTGGAAGTTGCTAAGTCTGATTTGTAAGATAAAGGTCTTTTGAATGACTAAGCAGCCTCATAGCTAATCTGGCTGTGTCAGAGAAGGGTAACCAGTATGAATTTCCATACTTCTCAAAATGTTTGACCTTCCAGGCCCTGGAAGGTTAGCTATGGTTCCAATTAGAATCTAGCACAGAAAGGGAAGGACCTGCCTGCAGGTGTAGCTCACTGGTTGAGTGTCAACCCAAGAATCAAGAGGTTGCTAGTTCGATTCCCGGTCAGGGCAAATGCCTGGGTTGCAAAGTCAATATTGATGTTTCTCTCTCATCGACGTTTCTATCTCTCTATCCCTCTCCCTTCCTCTCTCTAAAATCAATAAAAAAAATTTTTAAAAAAAGGGAATTACCTATGTCTGGAAGAATTGTTCTTGCTGCTAGCACCAAATTAAAAATAGTATTAAATGAAAAATTTTGTTTTGTATTTTGACTTGATGGTATCCTTTTCTCAGAGGCAGAAATGATAAAGGAAGGACTATACTGAGTTTAAATGTTCTGCTTTGAAATAGAGTAATTTCTCTTTAAATTAAAGGCAGCATTGTATGTGAGTCAGTATGAGAGCATCAGTCAGAGTCTCTTTATTTTCAGTAGTTATTTTTTGGGCATGCCTTTTGTTTATGACACAGATACTAAACCTAAAACCTGAAATGGCCATTGTGTTCTACAGTTCCCAATATATCTTCCCTTTTTTTAAACTTCTAAACAAAAGCCAAATATCTTATGAACAACTTAAGAAAATAATAAAGCTGCAATATATTTCTTTTTCCAGTAAAGGAAGGAAGCCAAAGGAAGCAAATGTTTAAAATAATAGAATTGCCTAACTCATCACTGCAGTTGATTCAGAGCAGTTCAGAAAGTACAGCTCAATGTATTAGCATTATTGATTGCAAGTGTCAGAAAGCACCTCAAATTTCTATTAACATAGAAGCATTTACTGGCTGAAGTTAACTGTTTAAGTGCACAGAGGGTGATATGTGTGTGTTGTAGTACTATTAATGACAGCAAAATATTGAAACAACCTCAGTGTCCATTAATATTATATTGGTTAAGTTAAGAGCAAGAGCATAGTGTTAAGAACAGCTGCTTAGGCCAGACTAGCTGTGTGACCTTGGGCCAGGTTACTTAACCTTTTGGACTTCAGCTTCCTGGTCTGTGAAATGGGGACAATCATGTCTACCTCATAGAGTTTTTGTGTGGGTTAACTGAGTTAATAAATACAAAGTACTTAGAATGGTGCTTTGCATGTGCTATTATGATAGCACTAGAGGCCCAGTGCACGGATTCGTGCACCAGTGGGGTCCCTCGGCATGGCCTGTGGGGGTTGGGCTGAAACCGGCAGTCTAATGCTGCCTGCCACTTCCACTCATCCTGGCCCCACTTCACCTGCTGCGGGCTTGCACCCAGTCATTCCCAATTAGGAGAGCCGTGAGCCGTGTCTGGTGCCTGTTATTCAGCTGAGTAGTGCTCCCACTGTGGGGGCATACTGACTACCAGGGGCAGCGTCTGCATTGAGTGTCTGCCCCCTGATGGTCAGTGCGCGTCATAGCGACTAGTCATTCAGTTGCTTAGGCTTTTATATATATAGACTAGAGGCCCGTTGCATGAAGAGGTTCATGCAATAGGCCTTCCCTTCCCCGGCTGCCGGCACTGGTTTTCCTCCGGCACCCAGGACCCAGGACTTCGCTATGGATGGAGCCTTAAATCTTTGTGGCTCCGGACGGAGACATCAGTCTTCCCTCCACCGCTTCGTGCCTACGTATGCAAACTAACCACCATCTTTGTTGGGTTAATTTGCATACTCTCCTGATTGTCTGGTGAGCATAGCAGAGGGACGGTCAATTTACACGTTTGTCTATTCTTAGGTAAGATGCTCTCACTAGCGCACTTTCTCAGTTGTTCTTGTGTTCATTCTATGTGCATACTGTGGCATGTCATGCAGCTGTCAAAAAAGTGGGGTACATGTTCAAAATATGTACTTAAGGAAATAAGAGCAAAAAGCAGGTATGATCCTAATTATTTAAGGGCTTTCTTTTTGGTAAGCACTTGCCTAAATGCACTATACATACATAACTCATTTCATCTTCACACCAGGCCTCTGAGAGAAATAGACATTGTTCCTGTTTTACATTTGAGGAAGTTGAGACAACAAGAGGTTCACTAACATTAGGACAATTTTTTTTTTTATTAAAGCAGTGTATTCTTGATCTCCACAAAGGAATCCTATATAATAGAACCCTAATATGCAAATTGACCCAATGGCAGAACGATTGGCAGAACGACTGGCCACTATGATACTCACTGACCACCAGGGGGCAGACGTCCAATGCAGCTCCTGCATTGAGCATCTGTCCCCTCAAGAGGGAGGTGACTGGTGGTGGGGGTTGGGGGGTGGTGCTAGCCAGCGGGCGGTGCCAGGCCACCAGCCAAGGCAGGTGCTAGCAGAGATCCCCCAGTTGCCCTGCATATCGGTCATCCCGCAGAGAGAGGTGACCGGCCGTGGTGGTGGGGGGCAGGACCGGCGAGCAGGTGGCGCCAGGCCACCAGCCAAGGCGGGTGCCAGCAGGGGCCCCCCGATCGCCCTGTCCACCAGTCGCCCCACAGATCGGCCCTGATCGCTGGCCAGGCCTAGGGACCCTACCCTATCTATATGAGAAAAAAATGGAGCTGCCCATACAACAGCAAGATGCCTTTCACCTATATGAAAAGTATGGTCACTGGTGCATGCAGCATCCTGGATTGTGAGAGGATGTCTGACTGCCAGTTTAGGCCCTATGGGGATCGGCCCTAAACCAGCAGTCGGACATCCCCCAAGGGCACAGGCTGGGCTGAGGGACTCCCCCCTCGTACACGAATTTTGTGCACTGGGCTTCTAGTTATTTATAATATTTTAAGTGAGCTTTCTAAATCTCATTGACAGTAACATTCAGCACTTTAATTGTGAAGTTAGAACTCCCTCAATAACTACTAAATAAGTATGAAATTTCTTCTTTTTCCCCAAACCTGACAGATGACCATCTGAAAAATGGAAATCTACTTCTGATTGAGGTAGTGGTTCAAAGTAAAGGAATTGAGAGCTCCCTGTAAGATGAGAGGCCTTGCAGAGACCCTAATACAAGGCAGTTCCCGCTTTTCTTCAGCATATAATTGTGGCGAAGGTGTTCTCTGGCCCTGAGTATAGGCACTTACATGACTCCTGTTAGGAGTGGCAAATGTCCAGTGTTGGTTACTGTTGGAGAAAGTAGTGGATTGGAAGAGGGCTTGGGGGGAGGCCAAACAGTGGCTTAACTCTTTTATTTAGAATACATTTATATAGATTTAAAGTTTTTGCACTATTTTGTAATTTAAATATAAATTATTTTCTTTTTTTTTACTGAGATGTTTTCTTACGTGATTTTCTTTAGAAATGGAGCATCTACAGTTGTCACGGCTATATTTGGAGGCATTCTCCAAAATGAGGTTAACTGCCTTATATGTGGGACAGAATCTAGAAAGTTTGATCCATTCCTAGGTAAGACATTTGGTATGTGGAGATATGATATTGAATTAAAATAATTTTGTTTCCTTTGAAAATTAAGACAGTGGAGATAAATCATTAAGAATACATCATTTGCCCTAGTCGGTTTGGTTCAGTGGATATAGCATCCGCCTGCAGACTGAAGGTTCGATTCCGGCCCGATCCCCAGTAGGGGGCATGCAGGAGGCAGCCGATCAATGATTCTCTCTCATCATCTCATCATTGATGTTTCTATCTTTTTCTCCCTCTCCCTTCCTCTTTGAAATGAATAAAGAAATATTTTTTTTAAAAAAACATTTTTTGAGATTACTTTTTGAGTTATATGACTTTAACAGTTATTTTCCTATTTCCTTTTAAGACCTTTCATTAGATATTCCAAGTCAATTCAGAAATAAGCGCTCTAAGAATCAAGAAAATGGACCAGTTTGTTCATTACGAGGTAAGATATTAAATTAATGTTCTAGAATTCTTTTTTCGCTCTGATATACCCGAATATGTTTGTAAGTTCCATCAATACGTGCTGTTCACTTTAATGAATTTGTGTTGTAACTTAACAAAAATCAAACATGGATGTCTCTTCCTGTCCAAAATTATTCTGTTTAATGAGAATGCCTGTCAGAGATAGTAGGTCAAGCATAAAACATTTCTCACTTTTCTCTTTTAAAAGTGAAAGTTCATAACAAAACCTTTTTTGACCTAATGAAATAGAATTATGCTATGGATATCCCTCTAGCATCCACAGGAAGAACGAAAACTCAATAAAATTTTATGAATTGTGTTATTTATGCTTTTGTATGACAAATAATGTGAGGAATCTGTTGATACTACCATCAGTTAAACATAGGCCCTACTTTTAATTGCAAGAATATTAAAATTTACATTTACTTTGCAAGATTTTGAACAACTTTTTTCCTTGATGATTTTTAACTACTTTAGTCAAGGCAAGAGACCTATCCTTCACCAGCCACTATAATGACTAATTGTTCTTTTTAATCATAAAAAGAAGAAACTAGGATAGAAAAAAAGAGGACCTAATACATGTTCTATCATTAAGCAACTGTACACTAAAGGCAAGCAACATAATTTCTGCCCTAAATTGTATGTTGACTAAAAGTAATTCTTTTCCCTTCAACTCCCTTTTAGGGAGTACTGTCACAATTATAGTTAGACTAGAGGCCCAGTGCACAAATTCGTGCATGGGCAGGGTCGGGCCGGCCCAGCCCCAATCAGGGTGGATCCGGGCTGGGCCTGTCGGGAGGAGATGGTTGGAGGTTGGCCAGCCTGCCTTCCCTGATCGAGGCCGATCAGGGCCAGGCTGGCATGGGGGAGGGGTTGAGGGCAATTGGCCGGCTGGCCCCACCCCTGAATGGGGTGGGGTGGCCAATTGGATGCCAGCAACCTGAGGGAGGGGCCATGGGTGGTTGCCTGGCTGTCCTTTCCCCTAATCGGAGTTGGGGGGCCGATTGGGGGTGGAGCTGACTGGGGGGAGGGGCCGCAGGCCAATCAGGCTGGTTGGAGCTTATTGGGGGTGGGGCCCGCTGGAGGGAGGGGCTTTGGGAGGTTGGCCCACCAGCCCATCCTCGATCGGGCCGGTTTGCTGGCTCCAGTGGGCATCATAGCGACTGGTCATTATAGTCGTTACGGCATTCTGGTCGCTGGCTTTGAGATAGATAGATAGACAGACAGGAAGGTTTTGTGTGTGGTTTTTAAAAAAGAAGAGATTTGAAAACTGCACTGCCTTGTATGGCAACCATAGTTGCTTGTGGTTATTAAAATGCAATTAAAATGAAATTTAAAATTTTTGTTGCTCACCTGCACTAGTCATATTTTAAGTGTTCAGTAACCATGTGGCTAGTGCAGGGGTGGGCAAACTTTTTGACTCGAGGGCCACAATGGGTTCTTAAACTGGACCGGAGGGCCGGAACAAAAGCATGAATGGAGTGTTTGTGTGAACTAATATAAATTCAAAGTAAACATCATTACATAAAAGGGTACGGTCTTTTTTTTTAGTTTTATTCATTTCAAATGGGCCAGATCCAGCCCGCGGTCTGTAGTTTGCCCACGGCTGGGCTAGTGGCTATGGTATTCAAACACAGATGCAGAACATTTCCATTATTGCAGAAAATTCTACTGGACAGCACTGCTCTAGAATCAACTTATCTGAGTAAAAATATAGCTGTTTGGGAAGGGGCAAGCTCCTCTGTGTCACAGGTGCATTGTGCGGCGTTTGGCTTGTTAAATGGGAGCAGCAGAGTCTTGCTTGTAGAACTATTGCTCAGGTAGTTTCTGGAAATCTCTCAGCGGATGACGGTCAAAGGCACTGGACTACTCTGAGAAACGAGCAAACCAACCCTCATAGATGCTTTCAGTTTGTTCCCACCTGTGTGAGTGCTGATTGTCTCTGGTGAACAGGAGTACAGAAGTTTAAGGAAGCCCTATCCACTCCACTTCCCCCTAATATATAGGCTATTGTGTGTTTCTCCAAAACTGTTTTTGGCTTGAGATCAATTTTTTAAATATCACAGTATAGTTGATATCAGATATACTTTATATTTGTAGCATGTGAACACAGGTGAACTTAATCTATAATAATAAAAGCGTAATATGCTAATTAGACCAGACAGCCAAACGACCTTCCGGATGTCATTCTGAACGTCCTTCCTGATGAAGCCGTGGCAGGGGGGCCGAGGCAGAGAAGGTTAGGGGTGATCAGGCAGGCAGGCAGAGGGATTAGGGGCAATCAGGCAGGCAGGCAGAGTGGTTAGGGGTGATCAGGCAGGCAGGCGAGCAGTTAGGGGTGATCAGGCAGGCAGGCAGAGGGATTAGGGGCAATCAGGCAGGCAGGCAGAGTGGTTAGGGGTGATCAGGCAGGCAGGCGAGCAGTTAGGGGTGATCAGGCAGGCAGGCAGAGTGGTTAGGGGCAATCAGGCTGGCAGGCAGGTGAACAGTTAGGAGCCAGCGGTCCCGGATTGTGAGAGGGATGTCCTGGAATACAAGAGCATGCAGGCCGGGCTGAGGGACCCCCTCCCCCATGCATGAATTTCATGCACCGGGCCTCTAGTCATAAAATAAACATTATTTGATCAGTTAGAGGGAATCAGTAAAAATTAAATTATTAAAGGAATTAGCCTAAAACTATATAATCTAAATTGGGTTGATTTCATTTTGAAATTTCTCCAATAATAACAGTATTAATATTGGCATTAATTTTAAAAAAATACTGTTCCTTGATATAAATATGTGGGTATATATTTAAAAAGTATTTCCTAATATTTAACAAAACCCAGTAAATCCAGATGATCTTTGGTGGAAGCCCCAAGAGACACTGGTTTCAGGCTTCTTTCTCTTTTTTTGTTGTGTCTCCCCGCTCCCCCCCCCACCCTCAGCCCGAATTGGTCATATCCATGGTTCTTACTGCTCTCTGTAGCATTGCACTTACTACCCATCCCAGATGCTTTAATACCAACCTTCCTTTCTTAAGACCATCCTGGAGAGTGTATGATACAGCTTAGGTGGTTGGTTGGTACTAAAAACAAGAAAAATGGCAAATGAAGTTGATAAACGTGAAACAAATATTTGTAACATATATGAGAAAGAGTAGTTGGGCAAAGTATTTTAAGAAGAAAAAATGCAGGACAACCAAGATGGCAGCATAGGTAAACACCGGAGTTTGCTGCCTCGAACAACCACTTCAAAAATACAACTAAAAGATGGAACGGACATCATCCAGAACCACAGGAAGGCTGGCTGAGTGAAAATTCTACAACTAGAAGGAAAGAGAAAAGCATACTGAGACTCAGAGGAGGCACAGTGTGGAAGTAAAATACTAAGGTGCGGAGTGCATGCGGAGCGGGCTGGCGGCTGAGGGCGCGGTTGTCATTTTCAATTGGGAGGGAGTCTCCGGCTCTGAGCTCCAGTTCCGGGCGAGTCTCTGGGGACCCAGACTCATACGGGAGAAGCGGGACTGTCTGGCAGCAGTTGGAACTCGAGGGCAGCTTTCTCGCCGAGGGGCTTGCAGCGATTACTGGGACACTGAGAAGCAGAGCCTCTGACGGCAGGACTGACAGCAGCCCTAACTGCTCC